TTTGTATTCAAACTAACATTATTCCTTATGCATAATTCCAGTCTGATAAAATCAATCTAGACATACAACGAGTGGTGGGATACAGACAATGGTGCAACAAACTATGGAATGCAGTACGTTTTGCAATGACAAAACTTGGTGACAATTGTACCCCTCCATCAAAAATAGACCCAAACAACATGCCCTTCAGTTGCCAATGGATTCTTTCGGTTCTAAACAAAGCCACATAAAAAACCATATCATCATTGGAATCCTATGAGTTCTCAGACGCATCAACTGCAGTATATTCATGGTGGCAGTTTCAGCTCTGTGATATCTTCATTGAAGTAATCAAACCTTACTTCTTTGGTGATGATGCATCAATGGCAGCTTCAAAGGCTCATGCACAAGATACTTTGTGGGTGTGTTTGGATACGGGGTTAAGATTGCTTCATCCGTTTATGCCTTTTGTTACTGAAGAACTGTGGCAACAACATCGTTCACTTAAGCATTGTGAAAGAGAGAAGTCTATTATGATTTCTGATTACCCTTCGGTTGTTGAGGTTAGATTTTTCACTTGTAGTTGAAGGTAAAATGTTAGTTAGTTATATATATATATATAACTGTTACTTTTCACTTTTTTTATAGTCATGGAGAAATGAAAAGGTGGAATATGAGATGGAGGTGGTTGAGTCTCCTTGTTCAATAATTGTAGATATAGTAAAAAATAATTTTTTTTTCAAAAAGGAATATTAATTTTTTATTTTTGGGGTCAGGCGAGTTGGCTTTGCAGTTTCTAGAAAGGAACAAACTACAGAGCTTCTGAGACGTCATGAAAAGGAGGTTTCAACCTTAGCCAACTTATCATCATTCACGGTATGTATGTATTTATCACATATGTGCAAAAGACGAAAATGCCCTTCCAAAAAACAGATGTGTCCTTTGTAATAATATCTCTGACATTTTGGGGTTAAAACTGTCTTTTCAGGTTCTGACTGAAAATGATGCTGCTCCAGCTGGATGTGCAGTATCAGTTGTAAACCAATCACTTTCTGTTTATCTAAAGCTTCAAGGAGCCATTGATGTCAAAAAAGAACGTCAAAAGCTCAATGCAAAGTTGACTGAACTACAAAAGTAAGCAAATTAATCGACACCTCATGTTAACTTTTTAGTTCTGTTAAGTTGTTCTTTCTGTATTAAGGCATCAACATATATTAGAAAATGATGTGTCTTCCATGTTTGACTTTGAGCAGGCAAAAGGATAGGTTGAACAAGGCGATGAGGGCTAAAGGGTATGAAGAGAAGGTTCTAGAACATATAAAAGAAGAAAACATGGCTAAATTGACAATGTTAATGCAACAATTGTTTTCTTGTGAGGAAGCTACTCAGCACTTTGAACGCGAAGTTGCTTTTAGAGCAGAGATTTAATCTAAATCAACCCTCGATACAATTTTGTGAAATTATTTGTATTTTTACCTTGTTATGATGACATTTATATACCATGCTCATGTTTTGTTGAAGCTTACAACCACTAAATATAAAAATAGTTTTCTTGTTAAGTACGCCACAAGTTATAGGAATAATTGCAGTTTCTATGACACCCAAAAAAAAGGTGGAAGAATCGCCGAGGACAAATTAAGACTCGCTCTTGATTAGTTTATTTTTTGCATAAAAGATGAGAATGACCTAGATATCCTATATAGTTGACAACAAGCTATCCAATATGCTAATCTAAATTTTAGGGTCTATCTATCCATACCATACTTCTAGTCTATCCATACCCCTTAATTGCTATCCTAATAATTAACTCAGAATTACATTACTTTTTTACTAATAATTATTAGTCAACTACAAAACTATAAAGTAGTAATGAATATTTTTTATAATTTATTTATACTATTTATATGTAATTAAAAAAATTTAGGATATTTTGTTAAAAAAAAGTTGTGTTATTTATTTTAAAAAAAGTTAATTCCAAGAAAGCTTATAAAATTTTATTAAAAAAATTAGGTGCAGTTAATTAAAAAAACTATATAAAAAACTAAACTTTTAGTTTTTATAAATGTCTTTTACTAAAAAAATGTATTCATGAATTATAACAAATATAAACTTAGAGGACTTAAAATGCAACATCTTAAGATTAACTCTAAATTTTGATGGTATAAAGAGCTTCTTATCTCCACGAGAGAGAGAGAGAGAGAGAGAGAGAGAGAGAGAGAGAGAGAGAGAGA